AATGATAAATCATTGCACTGTGTGTTTCCCTGTGCCTGATTTCTTTCCATTAGCAACGAGATCTTGAGGTCTATCCAAATGGTTTTATGTGGCCATAACTTTTTCTTTTTTTATTGTTGAATTGTGTTCATTTGTATACATATTGCATTTTCTCTCCATATACCTGTTAATTAACATTTGATATAGTATGTCCTGCTGTGTTTAGAAGGTCTTGTTTCTTTAGTGTTGCCCATCCCTTCCGGTTCTTATAATCATTCTGCCTCCTCTTTTACAGGGTTTACTGGTTTCTGGGGTAGGAGTGGTGTTATAGAGATATCCAATTCAGGGATGAATGCTCCAAGATCTCCCAATTTCATCACACTGTTGAGCTGTAGGTCTCAGCATTTGTTCCCATCTCCTACAGAAAAAAGCTTCTCTGATGATAACTGAACAAGACACTGATCTATAAGTCTAGCAGAATGTCAATAAGAATCATTTATGGTTATATTCCTGTAAAAGAATAGTAGTCTTTGCTTTTCTCCTAGGTCTCTGTCCTATCTGGTCTCAGGTTCGTGGCCTCCTGAGCAGTCTCAAGGATGGGTTCTATCTTCTGGAGTGGGCCTTAGAGTCAGTAAAACAGATTGGTTACTCCAACATCTTTGTGTAACTATTGTACTAGGGTCATGACTGTGAGTTTGTAGGTGGTTTGGTTTTTACCTTTCTCCTTTGGTAGCTTGCAGAGTACCTTGCAATACAATGAACACTAGTTAGTAAGAATAGAAGTTCTCGGTAGGCACCAGATCAACTTTTCCATGCTCAATGAGTTTTGTAGGTGTTGCCTTCAGTAATAGTCTTACCCTCAGTTTTTGGAGAGTGACCAATTACATTGGCAATAGCCTGGGTTGTTTGGCGGTTAACATGGTGTCTCTTTGGACAACAAATGGTTTAAATGTAACCCATCTCCAGAAAGGGAAGCTTCATTTGATGATAAGAGATGTTCAGTTGGGGCTCATCTTCCTCATCATTTGGCTATTCAATTTAGATCACTTTCATATGTGTATGTATTTTAGGAAGCTACTGCTGTATTAGGTCTCTACACAATCTCACAAATTGCCCTTAGTTTTAGTTGTCCCTTTCTGTCTTCCCTCTATTTCCTCCTTCTATTGTTCCTCTTCCTGTTCGAGCCTACCTTTCTAGCCCCTTTCCCAACCCATAATAACTTTGAGTCAGAATATTTTATATGGGTACAGGCAGGTTTAGTTGCAGTATCATAGTATTACTAGACACGGTGAAGAGGCCTTTTCCAGCTCCCAGTTTCAGTCCTATAGATTGAGCTAATAGAAAGCAAGACTACCCAAGCTGGCAGAAGGGGCTGAACACCCTCAATAGTCACGGTATAATGAAAATTACAGAAACAGGAAGTAGCTTGACTAGCTTCAGATTGACAAAGCTCTCAGGACTCCTGAAATTTGTAAATGACTTTAGTTATCTTGAGAAAACACGCAAAGACTAACTTTTATATTTCTGTTATACTTTCTTGTGGCTAATAATTGTGATTCAGATGACTCTTGTCATTGATTGTTTTTGCTGATTGTTTTTAAATGGTGTGTTTTACACAAGGATGCCCCCAGAGGCTCGTTTATTTGAATCCTTAGTCAACAGCAGTGGCAATACTTGAGGAAGTTTAGGCGGTATAGCCTTGTTAGAAGAAGTGTATCATTGAGGGCTGGAGGCAGGTTTTGAGGTTTTAAAATCCCACAGGAGGCTTAGTCTCTCTGTCTCTGTTTCTCTGTCTCTGTCTCTCTCTCTCTGTGTGTGTGTGTGTATGTGTGTGTGCATCTTTCTCTTTGACTATAGATCAGAATATAGTTCTCAGCTATTGATCAAATGCTTACCACCATGCTTTCTGTAAGGATGATAATAGCCTCACCCTCTGAAACTGTAATAAAATCTACAGTTAAATTCTTTCTCTTATTATACTTACGATGGTCATGGTTTTTTTCTCAGAACAATGGAATAGTATAACTAAGGCAGAAATTGGTACTAGGAGTGAAGTATTGCTGTGGTAGGCTTGACCATGAAATTCTTAGTAGAATGTAGATTTGGGGATTTTAGATTAGGAAAGGTTGAACTTTTCAAGTGTGGCTTAATGGATCATACTAGTAAAACTATGGGAGATAGTGGTGCTGAGAACAATATAGATTATGACAGTCCTGTTCAAAAGGTTTCAGAAAGGAAAAATATTAGTAAATTGTACAGAGATCATTTTTGAGATATTTTGGTAAAGAATGTGACTTCTTTGTATTGTCTAAAAATCTGTCTGAGGCTAAAGTGAAGACTTTAGAATAATTGTGTTGGCAGAGATTTCAAAACAGTCTAGTATTGATGATTTCTGTAATGTGGTCATTTGTGATCACTTTCATTCAAATCTATAAGAGAAACGGGTAAGCTGAGTAAGGGAAGATACAAAATGTACATTTTGAGGAGAAAACAAGCACCAGGAAATGTAATAAAGATAAATCCAGTGCTCATGGAGACAAAAAGTTTAAAAATCTGATGCTAAATGCAACAAAGAGAGTGGAGACCTCGGAGAAAGAACCCACCCAGCTAAACTTCCTATCTGTGAAACTGAATTAAACAAGAGCTTAAGCATTGAAGGAAATCATTAACTACAGAAAGCTGAGCAGATGCCATTGAACATCAATGAGGAGGTCATGTTCCAGCCTCAGAAGGGAGCAGAATTTGGCATCTTTGGCCATGTGGTACTGACTTTAGAGTCAGTGATAGAAAAAAAGGGGTTGTGAAATATCGCTCCACATCTAAGGAAAGCTGCTGAGGCCAGACATGTGTCAGCAGTGTCCTGGTATGGATGTCTGGAGAAGCCATCATAAGAAGTTATGAAGGTAAAGCCTGGATTGTCTTGGGGATCTCAGAGTATTAGAGATGTCAGAGCCATGGAATACTTGACAAGGAAAGCTATTACCAGGCTATGTGGAAGCAGCCCAAGAGAATGAAGTACACCGTAGTTAACAAATCTGAAAAGAGTTGAAGACATGAAGAGTACTTTGATGCTACACATGGAGATGCAAAATGTGGAGATTGCCTGCTGGTTTTCAGTCTTACTTTGGTTGAGTATTTACTCACTATGTTCCTTTTCCTCCCATTTGAAATTGCAGTGTGTATTCTGTGCAGTTGTATGTTCAAAGTACACATCTTATTTTGATTTTACAGGAGGTTACAGTTAAGAGAGTATCATGAATTTCAGAAGACACATTAAATTTTAGGCTTTTAAACAGTGTTGAGATTGTTGTAGACTATTGGGACTTTTGAGGTTAAACTGAATACATCTTTGTTTTATGTTATTTTGTTTGTTTTTGTTTGCATTATAATATGGCTACAAGCCTATATGGAATGGGATATGGTGGTTAAAATAGGATGGTCCCTAGAGGCCTATATATTTGATTGCTTAATTAACAGCGAGTGGAACTACTTGAGAAGGATTAGAAGCTGAGGTCTTTTCAGAATAGATGTGGCCTTGCTAGAGAAAGTATGTCACTGGGGGTGGGGGTGAGCTTTGAAGTTTCAAAATCCCATACCAGGTTCAGTGTCTCTCTCTGTCTCTATTGATCAGGATGTAGTTCGCAGTTACTGCTCCAAAGTCTGCTTATGTGTCACCCTGCTTCTTGTCACGATCCTAATGTACTAAATGTCTGAAAATATAAGCAAACCTCCAATTAAATGCTTTCTCTTATTATAGTTTCCTTGCTAATGATGTCTTGAACAGTAACTAAGACACAATGTTCAAAGCTATTGCCATACTGTTTTATATAGGAAACCATCAATGGTGACTATATTCTTCATGAAGTTTCTGAAAAACTAAGTATTCAAGCACTATTCTATTTACTATACCAACATTTTAAAGGAACTTACAAATTTACTTTAAAAAGAAAAATCTGTCATACTAGAAATTTCCTGTAAGGCATTATATCTAAATGAAGAGATACATAATTTGTCAGATATTTGTATAATAAATTCTGCTCAAAACTGTGCTAACAATATTGAATTATTATCTTGTATTCAGAAAATGTATTTAATTATTCAAACTATATTAATCATTATCAATTGGTCATTTACTATAAGAATTCTAAAAGCAATTTACAAATACAGCATTTTAAAAAGGCTCTGGCCTAATCCTACACCTTGGTCCTTGTGATGCCCATATAAATGATTTGGACAAGACACATTGAAGGTAATGTAGAAGACAGAAAGAGTTTATTGTTGAGTAGAGGACAGGGCACCCTCAAGAGAGAGAAGAGAACAATGATCATAGGGGTTATTACCTAGATGTACATTTTGATTAGGTGTCATATTATTTATGAACTGTCAGACAGCTTTCCTAACATGGGTTTTCTTTTCAGATAATTACCAGGAACATTTGAGTTCAATTTAACAGGAATGAAACATGGCTTTCCTGTTCTTTAATATAATGACAGCCTGCTATGTAATAATCTGCAAAGGTTTATGGTTCCTGGACCCAGATTTAAATAATTACCTAGCAATGACCATCTGGGAAGTTTGGGATGTTACTCTACTTCCAAGAGCACAGATGGGTACTTGTTTATTCTTCTGAAACCTACAGTTCCTTGGTTGTACATGTTGCTGATTGTGAAGGAAGCATCCATTTCAACGTGAATATCTACCTTCAAGTATGTGAATATCTACGTATCACCAAATAAGAGGAGCTTAATATTCATTTCAGCAGAGGCATTTTAATAACCCTGAATCATGCATGATGTTACTAAGATATGTGTTATTTCATTCATCTAGCATTGGAATGAGATAGGGTCCTCCTGAAGACTTTTGCTCTAGAAAAACATTAAGGTGTTCTAGTTTACTTATTATGAGCCTGGACTTTGTCCAGCCATGATTATATCTAAGCTGACTGACCTAGAACTTCTAACATCTTTCATGGGTGTTCAAACATCCATCACAAGGAGGGATTACTCATAATGCTGAGGTACCTCTAGAGCATCTTTGGCCTTTGTTGTTGATTTGAGATAGTCTTCTGTCCTGCAGGCTGGCAACAACTCTCCATCCTCGTGTTTCATCCTGCCAAGTGTTGGCTTCATAGGCATTCACCAGCACACCTGATTTTAGACATATTATTTTCTGATTAGTAGGCGTTTTGCTTTCTTTCCACTAGAATCAGTCCTGGACTCTGCACTGTAGTTTTATGATAATTCTCCAAAACAGAATTCAATTCAAAACAGTCTTACTATTTGCATAAAATCTTCCACTGACAATTTTTTTTTCAGCTTAAGCAAAGCAAACACTTTTAAAAGCATCATTTTTGAATTGAAATATCCTTGGTTTCGTGACTGACTGTTGTTGGAAAATCATGACTACGGTTCACTCAAGACTGAAGTATTAGTGAAGAGAGTCACGAATTTTCCATTTCCATTGTTCTCCGGTGCTTTCCATGCTCCCAGGGGTGAATTATGCAGAGGCAGAAAGGACATGATTTTCTCCTACCTTCCTTTCAAATTGCAGCATGAATAATATTATCTGATATTTAGTGGTGGTTCACAAAAATTGTACTTGTTTTCTTATTTCAGAAAGGTACTTTTTGAAATGTCTTGCCTTTTAACAAGATCATCACAGGCTTCATAAATGAAGCTTACCGAGTGGTATTTGTAAACCAAGAAGAGAGGATTACGAGAGGCAAGGAAAAGGTGGCAACAGGAAATACAGCCCTTCAGTGAGCTAGATGCCTTTTTTTCCGTCCACATACTTGATGATGTGTTCAGGGTATACTGCATATAAATAAGTTCAGATCTTATTCTGTGTTCTGAAGAAGGTAATTATTGTGCCCACTTAAAAATCTGATTTTACTTTATTTAAGGTATGTAATATCTCATCTCTTTATTCATAAATATAAGTAAATAATTCTCATTGATTTCTTCAGTAAGAATTTATTGAGGACGATTTATTTTCCAAATAATGTTTGTCTTCAGTGGATTCAATAACTTACCAAAATAATAAAAATACCTTGTGAACAAATATTGAACACAAAACACAAATATAACTGAGAGGTTATCATTCAATAATGGCATAATGCATACTATGCAAATTTATATGCAAAGGTTCTATATAAAATGTGCTAAAAGCACATGAAAAATGACATGGATGACTAATGGAAAATTCCATGTCTCAGAAGGGGAAGACTAATATCATATATCTACACATCAGTTTATAATTGAAACAAAAAGTCAATGTTCCTGTGGAGTCAGGGAGAATGTTTCTACTGCTTCGGTCATTTTCAGCTCAATATTAATCCTTGAATAATTGGAAATGTCCACTGAACCTAAAAGTTTTTATATCTTCTGATATAACACATTATTATAAATGTACAGTCTCCAGAATGTACATAAATATACAATCTCCAGAAATAAATATGAGAATATAGCAACACACTTATATATACACATCTAAAGATACTAACTTCTGCTTTATTTTTATAGTTCAGAAACCTAATTTCTTTCATTGTGGAAAATCTATAGATGCATTTAATGTAGTAAGAAAAAGCCCTTAATCATACAGAGATAAAGTGAAATGTAATAGTATGTGAAAATGGTAAAGCTTCACTGCTACATTATTAAAAATCAATTTCAAGTAAAATATGTATTTTACTACTTTTTTCTATAAAAGTAAAATTGAAGAATTGTGGTCTTTATAAAATACTTTGAAAATTATAAAATTGAAAGGGTACAAATAATCTTAAAGGACTTTCCCTTTAAGATTATTCATTTTTCAATACATAAATTGACACTTTTTCACTTACTTTAAAAAATCAATCCAGGTGGTGGTGCATACCTTTAAACCCAGAACTTAGGAGGCAGAGTCAGATGGATCTCTGTGAGTTTGAGGCCAACTTATTCTACAGAGCAAATTCCAGGACAGTCAAAGCTACACAAATAAACAAAAAAACAATATGTCTTGACAAAAAGAACAATATGTCAAAGCAATATGAGAATTCATAACAGGATTTAGTTGCTTTTATTGGTATTTACACTAGAAAGTCAGGGATAATTTTGCAGCTTTCTCTTTGTACAAGTTATTACTTCTAGAGTAGTTTTAACTTTGAAACTATGATGTTACAACCAATTCCTTAAACATATAAGAACTTTATAAGATCTACACTTGTAAAGTATTGGCCATGTTTCACCATGTTTCTTGCAGAACTGATCATGAGCAATGTGTCCCAGTTTCTCTCTGTCTTTGTGAATAGCTGCACCATGAATGGCTGAAGAACAAGTAGAAAAGTTAATTAGGCTGAAGTACAAAATGCAGTATAGTCATTGCCCCAGGTGTCAAAATCCTGCTCTATTTGGTAAGTGTCACGTCAATTGCCAGATAAAAAGTGTGATGCTAATCATTTCATCTCAGAATATGAAAATGAGAAGACTGATGAGCTATGACCCTGCCTTTGGACCCCAAATTTTGATTAAGAATACCACTTTCTTTTTTTTTTTATTCAACTATAAACTTTGAAATATTTTAGTCACATTTCATCAGCATCTTTAACATCATGTAAAAAATAATGTCTGCATTGTTTCAGTTGGCTTATTATTTGAATATAAACTTTGTTGAAAAAAATTTTCAGGTCCTAATCAATGATTCTTTTCCTTTCCCTTCCTTCCTCTAAGCCTGATGTTGTATACCCAGTCTTTACTTTGATGGTTTGTACATACATATAAGCAAACATATATTTAAGTAGACAAATACAACCTATTCAGTCCTTATAATGTCACTTGTATTTAATATTCAATCAACATTTAGTGTGTTCTTCCCTGGGAAAGACGACACATTTCTCTTAGCATTCTTTAGCTACCTGTAGTTTTTTATGTAGGATTGGGGTCTCATGAGCATTTTCTTATCTGTGTTAGCATGTCTATTGATGTTATTCTTGTTCAGGTCAAGTTTAGGGAGCCTTGTTGGTGAAATTTTTAAGAATGTTGTCTCTAACATTTCTAGGAGACACAATCCCACAGCAAACTCCATGTTTCCATGGCTCTTTCTGCCCCCACTCCTACAATGATTTCTGGAACTTAGGTTCAGAGTTTTCTTGGAGGTGTATCAGTTGGGACTGGTCTCCACAACTCTGCAATTTGTTTGGTTTTGGTTTTCTGTAAGGGTCTCTGTCGGTTGCAAAATGTTTCTTTGATGAGAGATGAAAACTACACTTATCTGTAGGTATAAGGACAAACATTCAGGCTATAGTTAAGGATTATGCTGGTTTAGTAAGGTCGCAGTTACAGATTTTCCTCTAAGGTCCATGACTTCAATTAGCCCTGGGTATTTGACAAGTTTCCCATACTAGGCATGATTTCCTTCTTGTTGAGTGAGTCTTGAGTCCAGCTGGGGAGTTAATTCATGGACCTCTAATTGAGAAGCATATTTGTTTATTCAGATTTGAACTGACCAACTTATTTTACCTATAAACCATGCAGAATAAATTTATAGTTTCAATATACATATTATACATATACATACCAATAAAAACAGAAAAAATGCAATGACTTTATTCCTATTTCTATAATATTTATAAATTCTTGATAAAGATGTTAGAACTATGAGGTCAGACTCCAGACAATGGGTAAAAAATGCAGTTATTACCTTTGCTAGAATAAAAACCAAATCTATCTCCTGTCTCAGTGTGTTTTCTGGCTCTACTCAGTACACCTTCTTGATTAAGAGTAAAGTTTGCTTTGTCAGGAAAGAAAAAACAAAAAATATCAAGGATGGGGAAGAAGGATGAGATTAAATGGAGCTTAAGAAGTACCTTAATTGCCTTAATAACTTAATTCCTTCAGCCAATATTTAGAGAAACAACAACAAAAAACAAATAATAATAATAATAAACAACTATAAGTTAAACATGCTCTCTGAAGAGATACTTAGCAAACACGGATGATGATGAGTTATAAATTGTATGCTTTGCTTTCATGGAATAAACATGAGGAAAATAAGTGAGTGATTGGTAGAATCTTGCTCAATGCTGCACAATAATTAAGACTTGAAATTTATACAACTTTGTAATGTATATACTTTGTGCACAAGACAAAAATGTGATTTTAAATTTTGCTTTATGAACCATTTGACAGATAACCAAGTCTAATAAATGTTCCCACATTGCCTTTTCCAATTACTGCTTAAGTACACTAGAGATGACAAAGAAAACTGTAAAAGAATGTAGATGAAATTATAATAGTAATATAATATAATAGTAAAGTTTCTTACCGTGGGAGCAGGCCTGAGCCAGCAAACTTCACAGCAGCAGGTCAGAGGGAGAGACCTCCTAGGAAGCAGGCCTGAACCTGTGACCTCTATGGGAGCAGATCCAGGCCAGCGACCTCTGTGGGAGCAGTCCCAAGCCAGGAACATCCTCAGGAGCAGGCCTGGGTCAGTGACCTCCACTGGAGCAGGCCCAAGCCACAGAAGCAGGTCCAAGCTAGCTACCTCCATAGGACAAGACCTGGCCAGTGACCTCTGAGGGAGCAGGCCAAAAACAGGGACACCCCCAGGAACAGGCCCAAGCCAGTTACCTCCACTGGAGCAGGCCCAAGAAAGTGACCTCTATGCGACCAGGTCTGAGCCAGCTACCTCTTTTGGAGCAGGCCTGAACCAGTGACCTCTGCAGAAGCAGGTACAAGGGAGAGACTTCTGAGGGAGCAGGCCTGAGGCAACAACCTTGGTGGGATCAGGCCCAAGCCCGTGACCTCTGTGGTAGAATGCCCCCAAGTGAGCAACCTCATGGGACCAGGTTCACGAGAGTGACCTCCACAACCAGACCCAGGCCAGCAACCTCTGCAGGAGCAGTGCCTAGCCAGGGAAATCCATGAGAACAGGTCTGCCAGACCTGAGTCAGCAACCTCCTCCATGGTAGGCCCAAACCAGTGGCCTCTGCCAGAGCAGGCCTGAGCCAGCAACTTCTGTCATAGCAGGCCCAAGTCAGGGACATCTTCAGGAACAGATCCAAGCTAGCAACCTCTGCCAGAGCAGGCCTGATCGAGTAACCTCCATGGGAACAGGCCCAAACTAGCTACCTCTGCTGGAGCACGCCTGAGTGAGCAATCTCCACCAGACCTATCCCAAGTGAATGACCTCCACAGGAACAGGCCTGAGTCAGTGAGCTCCACCGGAGCAGGTACGAGGGAGAGACCTCCATGGGACCAGGTCCAAGCCAGTGACCTCCATGGGACCAGGTCCAAGCCAGGGACATCCACCATAGCAAGCCTGAGCCAGGGACATCCACCAGAGCAGGCCTGAGCCAGGGACATCCACCAGAGCAGGCCCAAGTCAGCAACTGCTGCTAGAGGAGTCCCCAGTGGGCTACCTCCTTGGGAACAGGTCTAAGTCAGTAACCTCTGTGGTTCAGGGCCAGGCCAGTGACCTCTGTGGGAGCAGGCCCAAAACAGGGACACCCGTGGGAGCAAGCCCAAGTCAGTGACTATCATCAGAACAAGCCCAAGGCAGTGACCTTCACTATAGCCACAAATAACATAAAATAGCCACAAATAACATAAAATATCTTGGAGTAACTCTAACCAAACAAGTGGAAGACCTGTATAACAAGAACTTTATGTCTTTGAAGGAAGAAATAGAAGACAGCAGAAAGATGGAAAGATCTCCCTTGCTCTTGGGTAGGTAGAATTAACATAGTAAAAATGGCAATCTTACCAAAAGCAATGTACAGATTCACCACAATGCCCATCAAAATCTCAGCAAAATTCTTCACAGACCTTGAAAGAACAATATTCAACTTCATATGGAAAAGCAAAAAACCCAGGGTTGCCAAAACATTCCTGTGGAATAAAGGAACCTTTGGAGGCATCACAATCCCAGACTTCAAACTCAAAACAGAGCTATAGTACTGAAAACAGCCCGGTATGGCATAAAAACAGACAGTAGGACCAATGGAACTGAATTAAAGACCCGGATATTAATCCACACACCTATGAACACCTGATTTTTGACAAAGAAGCTAAAAATATAAAAGAGAAAAATGAAAGCATATTCAACAAATGGTGCTGGCATAACTGGATGTCAACATGTAGAAGAATGAAAATAGATCCATATCTTTCGCCATGTACAAATGGATCAAAGACCAACATAAAAGCAACCACACTGAACCTCATAGAAGAGAAAGTGGGAAGTACACTTGAACACATTGTCACAGGAGACTGTTTCCTCAATATAACCCCAATAGCACAGAAACTGAGAGAAACAATTAATGAAGGGAATCTCTGAAAAGGGAAATGCTTTTGTAAAGCAAAAGACATGGTCAACAAGACAAAATAGCAGTCTACAGAACGGGAAAAGATCTTTACCAACTCCACAATGCACAGAAGTTTGATCTCCAAAATATATAAAGAACTCAAGACATTGGCCATTAAAAGAGCAATTAATCCAATAAAAAAAAATAGGGTACAGTCCTAAACAGAGAACTCTCAACAGATTAATCTAAAGTGGCTGAAAGACACTTAAGGAAATGTTTAACATCCTTAGCCATCAGAGAAATGCAAAATAAAACATCTCTGAGATTCCATTTTATACCTGTCAGAATGGCAAAGATCAAAAACACTGATGGCAGCTTATGTGGGAGTGGATATGGGGTAAAGGGAACACTCCTCCATTGCTGACCAGAGTGCAAACTTGTGCAACTGCTTTGGAAATCAGTATGATGATTTCTCAGAAAATTAGGAAACAACCTACCACTAGACACAGAGATGCCACTTTTGACTATATACCCAAAGGATGCTCAATCATACCACAAGAACATGTGTTCAACTATGTTCATAGTAGCATTATTTGTCATAACCAGAACCTGGAAACAACCTAGATACCTTTCAGCTGAAGAATGGAAAAGGAAAATGTTGTACAATTGCACAATGAAGTGCTACACAGCAGAAAATATAATGATATCTTGAAATTTGAAGGCTCATAGTTGGATGATGTAGTAGGAGGAGGCTGTTTATTCATTTCCCGGCTACCCAGACTCCCAAAATAAGCACACAGAAACTGTATTGATTAAATCTCTGCTTGGCCCATTAGCTCTAGCTTCTTATTGGTTAACTCTTACATCTTAATTTAATCCATTTCTATTAGTCTGTGTATTATCATGAGGCTGTGGCTTACCAGGTAAAGTTCTGGCATATGTCTCTGGTGGGGCTACATGGCTTCTCCTGACTCTGCCTTTTTTCTCACAGCTTTCAGGTTAGTTTTCCCTACCTAGCTCTACTCTTCCCTATCAGGCCAAGCCACTTTCTTTATTAACCAATGGTATTCATAGCATACAGAGGGGAATCCCACATCAGATGAATCTAGAAAACATCATATTGAGTGAGGTAACCCAAACCCAGAAGACAAATATATGTACTCACTTATAAGTGACTTTTAGATATAAAACAAAGAAAAACCAACTTACAATTCATAATCCTAAAGAACCTAGACAGCAAAGAGGACCCTAAGAGAGACATACATGGGAAGTAGAAAAAAGACAGTATCTCTTGGGTAAATTGGGAAAATGGGGCTCATGGGAGAGGGTAGAAAGGAGTGGGGAGAAAGGAGGGGAGCAGAGAAAAATATATAGCTCAATAAAAACAATTAAAAACAAAAAGTAAATACATAAAAACTAAATATATAAAAGCATTTATATGAATATATAATTTATGTAAAATAACCACATAAAATATAAATATATGTATAATTTTTTTCTAGTAAAAACATTTTAATTGGAGGAGATTAAACCAAGGCATCATTAAAATAGTTCAGAAAATTGGGTCTAGCTATGTTGTCTCCATAGTGGGGAACATGGGCTTTAACGTTTCTCAAGTTAAAATATTACTTTTAATTATTTATATAAATAATAAGTGTGTTACTCATGGTATTTTTGCAGTTGTTATTTAATTTTTATCTGTTTAGTTGGTAGCGATTTTGTTTCTGCTCTGCTTGGGCTATATAAATATCTAAAACCAGATCAGTAATCTTCCTCAGTACCGGTGGCAGTCATAGCTGCAAGACCTTTAACTTACAGAAGATTCAGGGACATCAGCTAACAAACAAAGTCCAAACACTGGAAAGTTAGCTTATTTATTCTGCCCTCCTGAAGCAAAATATGAAACTAGAGCTCTATAATATTAGAAGCTTACAGAAGTTGATGTATAGGGAAAAAAACAAGAAAACAAAACAAAAGCAAACAAACAGAGAGGGTGAGAAAGTCAATGTGAATTTCTGCTGGCAGCCTTTGCTCCCAGTGGTTCTGGGAGGAAACTGTGCATTGAGACACAATTGCAGAGCAGTGAGTGTCCTTACCTCTACTCCAGCCAACTATGCTTTGGGTGCTAACAACTTTGCTGCTCTCATTTGACCACATGTGGGTAGGGCGGTGCAGTCTCAGCAGTAAACAGAAATCCCTTGCAAGCCTAGAGGGAAAATGCAACAGATATTCACTGTGAATGAGGATCCTGGCTGCCAGGTTACATCTGTGAGCAGTTGGTTGCCATGGCAATGGCTAGAGTGGAAGAAAAAAGAGGCTGAGAGGATAACATGGGCGCACAAGTACGTAATGGTTCCTTAAGGGAAAGAGTGGGTGTTGAGAATTGGAGAGGCTGGGTACACTGATTTCCTAGGACGGCTATAACAAGGTACCCCAAACTATGTGGTTTCAAAAGCCAGAAATTCATTCTCTCACTTTTCTGTAGGCTAGATATGTAAATCAAGGTGTGGGTAACGCTGCATTCTGTAGAAGAGGGAGATAGTCCATGATTTTATTTTTGCTTTAATTTATATATGCATGTGTAAGCATTTACACATGCATATAGGTATGGAAAGAATCTTATCAAGGTGCAACCCAAAATAACCTAAAACTCCTGTACCTCTTGATTCAGACTCCCAAGTATCTTGAATTACAGTACCACCCAATTTATCTCTCTCTAAGCCAAGAGTTCTTGTATCAATCTCAGCCTTCATATGTCATTTTCCTTGTGTGTTTGTGCCTTTGTGCACAAAGCAATCCATGTGATGAGAGGCCCCCCCATACCACCATGACTTCATCTGAACCAATTACACACACAATTACCCTATTTTCAAGTTAGGTCACATTTTGAGGTACTGTAAATTCTGACTTCAATCCATCTCTTTGGGAGGATACAATATAACTCATAGCAATGACTTATCATGGTTGGCTGACTAATTCATGAGACATGGTGGGGATGTGAACTTCAGGTGAGAACGTGGGAACAGAGAGGCTGCAGCCTGAGTCAGACCATCAGGGTTTAGACTAGAAGAATGAAAAGTGTGGGTGTGGTTCTGCTGGGAAGCGTTAAAACCCCACATTGGCAGAAAGGAATGTTTACTTTATCAGGCTCTGGCATATCAGAAGGAAGAGACCGGAGGATGCTTCATTAATATTACATAGTTTTATTTTTCATATTTCGTTAAAATCAAGGACTTTCGGCAACCCACCACACTTTAAGTTCTGCAATGCATTTCCAAATCCGTTAATATTTAATGGACTTCTCATAAGCCCTCCTGCTTCAGATCCTAGGTTCTTTCTTCGAGAAGAACAATACAAAGCAAACTCTGCTTCTCGGTGTTTCTACGGCATAACAATCTGCAGCACAAAGGAAGGAAAAAGACCAGGAAAGAGAACCTTGTAAACACTAGTACCTCGGTGTGTGTGCCTAGTTACATAGAACACCTATATTTATTAACTTTAAACCATGATTAAAATGTAGTATTTCAAACAAAATGCCAATACATCACTAGCAGCAGCATATATTATATTTGTATTATAGTATTTCATGCACCTTTACATTTTTAATGAACAAAATTGTAATTTTCATCATAACATTGTGATCTTTTGCTCATATTTGGCCCCTTCCTGATCCTCCTGCTCGCTTTCTAAATAGCAGATAGAATACAAATCGCTGGGGAGAGAGAAAGAAAAGAGGGGCATGAGAGATTATGAATACAAATAAAGATGAGAGTGTGGGGTTGTGGTGCTGCCCACAGGCTACAAGGAGGACAGTAGCACCTGGTACATGCAGTGACCTGATGCTCTTGCAGCCCCTGCCCCTAGCCCCAAACTCACTGTCTAAACAAAGGGTCACCCTGACTCTGAGCAACGGCTCAATGATTGAGATGGAGCGATGGAGAATGGTTTATTGTCTGGATTGCGCCTCCTCAAAAGACCTTCATGGTCTGTGCTCAGCCTGAACGCTATGTTGGCTTCCATGGTCCACGCAACTGCCTTGGGATGGGGTTGGGAGGGCCATGTAGATGCCTGTGACCGAGTTGCTGCCAGAGGTCATTTTGATGTCTGTGGTTCCTGCTGCCAACTGGTGGCCATGTTGATGTCTGTGGTCTCTGTTGCCACGTGAAATCTTATTGGTGTTCATGGTCCTTATTACCACCGAAAGACATGTGTATGCCTGTGGCCTGGGTTGCTACCTGGGGCCATGTTAAAGTCCATGTTCTGTGCCGACGACGGATGCCACGAGGAGGCTCATGATCGGTGCTACCAGTGGCTGCTATGGGCAAGGAAGCTTCTTTGTTGTGCTTTCAATGACTGCAGACCCTGGACACTTTTGTGACAAACTCTCCACCTATCTGATGTGGGATGCCCTGCTGTATGTGTGCTGCTTTTATTGGTTGGTGAATAAAGCTGTTTTGGCCAATGGCTTAGGAGAGTAAAGCCATGTGGGAAATACGAACAGAGATATAGAGAGAGTAGGCACAGTTAAGGAGATGCCATGTAGCTGTCGAAGGAGACAGACACTAGAACCTTACCCAGTAGGCCACAGCCTTGTGGTGATATACAGATTACTAGAAATGGGTAAATTTAAGATGTAAGAATTAACCAGGAATATCCTTGAACCATAGGCTAAACTAATTAATATAGTTTCTGTGTGATTATTTGGGTCTGGGCAGCTGGAAAATAAAGGAGCAGTCTCTGTTTACAGCTACCCCCACCCCACAAAAAGAAACAGTCTAGACAAGAAGTCATTGAAGAGAGTCCTTTATTTTTTACTTACTTACTTATTTGTTGTTTGTTTGTTTTCTGAGACAAGATTTCTCTGTGTAACACCCCTAACTGTCCTGGAACTAGCTCTGTAGACTTGGCTGGCTTCAAACTTACAGATGCTGAAATGTAGATCTTCATAGTGAATGGCTTCTGGTGTGTGTGTGGTTAGGGGAAGGGCTTGGTTATGCTGCTGAATGCAAGCTGAGAGATTTGTTGAATTAATTTCTTGACCTGCTTTTTCCTCCAGGCCTGACCTCATGTTACAGAGATGGTATTTACCAAGTGGAAATTTCTTAAATGACACTAGTGAATGTTTCTTCTGTGGACTTTAGAAATACCAATAAATGTGCAGGGAGAGGCACACTTCCAGTGCTTTGTTGCCAGAAAGGAAGAAAAACTGGGAAAGAGGACAACAGGTTATCTCTATAGCTTAAATCACTTTTTTCATGCATGTGCTCAGAGTGAAATATGTGACAACTGGTAAACTGAAGAAGTTTATATTTTCTGTAATCAGTAGTCTCAAGTAATTAAATTGTATTTTAACAAGTCTTGCTAATGGATAGGTCTAATCCTGGGCAAATTTTCTGTCTTAATCTAAATTCTCTTTCTTTGCCTATAACTATATTATTTAGATCTATGTATCTTAGCTACCAGCTTGTCTTATATTTCTGTGATAATTATGCACATATAATAAATCCGCACACATATCTATTTGGCTAGGAAGATAGCTCAGTAAATAAGTACTTGTCATGCAAGAACAGATACTTGAATTGAGATGCCTACTACCCACGTCAAAATGTATATGCTATGTCATGGACCAGTGATTCCAGTTCTATGGAGACACAAATAGGTAGGTTTTTAGGCTGTACTGAAAACACTAATGTGCTCATCTCAGAGGACTGCAGTTTGCTGTGTTGGTGAACTGTTCCCTTCCTTGCTAATGCCAAATTTAAAAAGTTGCTCTTAAGGTGATATTGGAAGAGTTTATTCAAATCATAGTGCTGGCCAGTAATGATGAGATGATGTCCCTCTTCATGGCATCTATCAAAATGTAATTAAGCACGTCTTTAATTTGGATCACCAGCTGTGGAAGAGCATAAGGCACTATATGTCAACCACATGTTGATTTTACTTTTTTTTTGAAAAGCAACTGGAAAGGTTATTAGTTCTAAACTCCGGGAAGCTTTAGAGGTTTGTAATTTCCTCAGAGTTATGAGATAGTCTGATGGGCATGCTTAAGAATATTCAATGTCATAATGTATCTCAGTTCTTAAGTCATAATCTACTGTCATCTTTTAAAATTCCACAGGGTTTATTAGTTGGCAATAGAACACTATCCAACAATGTAGGATTCTACCTTTATTGCCTAGTATTTAATCAGACTTAACCATGAGTTAAAGATTCATAAAAATCATTAGAACTTTTTTCTCTATCTCCTATTCCTGAGTTATTAGTATATTGCTAAAAATAAGGATATTAAGAATATTCATTCTGTTTGCTCTTATTTGCTGCCAGAGCAAGTGTCTGATCAACCACTGTAACTGTAGCTTTCAATCTAATACATTAATATGTCTATGTTTTAATGCATATATATATATGTATGTACAATAGGGAACACACTATTTTAAGAGATTATGAGTAACTATAAAATCTAAAATGAGATTTGGCTTAGATGAGGAGAAAATATACAACAAGGGAAATACTTCAAGGTCTTGTTGAGCCTGTTAGAAAGGCCACAGAGAAGATGAGGTTCAATTCTATACAACAGACAAATAGTTATTTTCATCTTCCGGCAGAGACAACATCTTAAATGACATTTTTATTCATTTGCAGAATTGTCCTAATTTTAGACTCTCTCAGTGTTCTTTAATTTGCTGATAAACTATAATTAGAAACAATTTTTTTCATCAAGGAAATCAATTTTTAGCATTTTGTTTTGACACTTTGCATGCAGTTTCTCTTTCTTTTGAAACGATGACATTGAAAATATTTTGTTTTCATAGAATAAAAATAAAACACCCTGTGAACTGAGAATTCAAAGACAACATAGAAGGCCCAGTCACCAATAGTTATGTGCGCATAAGAGGAAGTAATATTCTCCTCCTGTGAAACACAAATGGCTCAGCATGATTAATTTTCATTGATCCTGCCAACGTTTTGCAGTAAACTCTAACAGCTACAAATTCAGTGCCTTCCCCTCTGTTATTGGCATTATCATGTTTTCCTGTGAAATCATGACTGAGCGATGATTTGACATTTTGGATAGGAAATTCAATAGATGTAAGAAATCAAGGAGAAATTCAAATCTCTCTGTTATGTCTCACAGAAACATGTAAAAATGACTTCCATAGCAGCAAGATTTTCTAAGATAAAATTAGAATTTTAATGGCATGTTTGTTTCAATCAACATGACTTGAGAGATGAAAAATTTCCTTGCCTTCACAGTATATGTTGTCCTCTTGAGTAGACA